CCAGTAGCCTATTGTTTAGGTATGTGGGAACCCTAGGGTATGCAACTCCAACATTCAATGCTCTGCGTTGCCGAGCGGAGTGTCCCTTTCAGGAAAGCGCAGGGTTAAGGCTGAGATCGGAAAATGAACAAGTACCTAATAGTCATATACTTACTCAAAACCTGTACTATAATTACTATTACCCAAAACCCAGTCAGTAATAAGCCCCGCGAGACTTCTTATGATGCTCCTGAAAAGTTTCCTAGGGCTGGTCTCAAAAATTCCTAAACCCTAAACCCTGAACCCTAGTCGGAGTTTGGTTTCAAAAAAGGGTTGAACTCTTAGCATGGGCCCTTCATCCTAGGGTCATTTCATGCCTCTTACATACCCTATAAGCCCCTACAACCTGAATTCAGGGTCCTTACTAAAGCAGGTGGGGCCCATACTACGGGCCGGTGCTTAGGACCTTAGACATAAGTAAGCGGTGGCAGGCATGAGCCCCCCACCATCTAGGGCTTACTTGTAGCCCAAGTTACCTACAGTTTGTATCTGGGTTATACCTACTAGTAACGGGGCACTTACTACCACACCTAGGGAGTTGGGGTTATAGGTAGGATTTAGCGTTAGGGTCCTAAAAGCCCCCACAGGTAGAAAACACAATGATGTAAGATCTACGGACCACAATGGTCACTTTGTACCGCTCCCTGTCCAAGCTGCCAAAAGCAGCGTGATGAAAGGCTTACAGACCTGTCTTTTCAGAGAAATGGAAAACAATCGATCGCCCCTGCCAGTCCGGGCATCGAGACAAGGACAGGGCCTCGTCTGGGGTTTTTTCAAAACAAGGAGCTCCCTAAGTTCGTTGGGTAGGGGGAGCCCGCAATATACTAGAATCCACTTCTTGTGACTCCTTGACAAGGTGGCCCTTATTTCGTTCTTGAAAGCCCAAATAGACCATCTTATTTATGTGATCCCTTCCGATCCCCGCAGAAGGGGAACCCAGGGCTTTGAGAGGAAAAACCACTACTGAACCTAAACCCTAAACCAAAAGCCCTAAGCTCTAAACCCCAAAGCCTAAGCCCCAAACCCTAAACCCGAAGCTCTAAACCCCAAACCCTAAACCTTAAGCTCTAAACCCCAAAGCCTAAGCCCCAAACCCTAAACCTTAAGCTCTAAACCCCAAAGCCTAAGCCCCAAACCCTAAACCCTAAGCTCTAAACCCCAAACCCTAAACCCTAAACCTTCTAAAGCCCTTATAGTAGTTTCCATGTTCTTTTCCATTATCCCTATATAAACTCAATATACCCTAATAAACCCTAATCGTTTTTGAGAAAACCCAGAAACCCTAAACCCTAAACCCAGAAACCCCAAACCCTAAACCCTAAACCCTAACCCCTCTAAACCCCTTATAGCAGTTTCCATTTTCTTTTCCATTATCCCTATATAACCCCAATATACCCTAATAATCCCTAATCGTTTTTGAGAGAACCCCGCTACTCTCCCTAAACCCAAAACCCTAAAACCCTAAAACCCCTAAAGCCCCAAACCCTAGTCGTTTTTGAGAAAACCCCGCTACTCTCAGAGATCCTCATCTCTGAGCTTTGGCAACACGTGCGGAGTCGCACGGTGCTCCCCGAGAGAACTGCGTACCACAAGCGGTCTTGGGTCATGGAATTAGGGGTTTCAGGGGTTTAGGGTTTTAGGGTTTTAGGGTTTAGGGTTTAGGGGTTCCTAGGTCCCTGTAAAGGGATATATAGGGTTGTATAGGGATAATGGAAAAGAAAATGGAACCTATGATTTTAAGGTGCAGGGTTATAGGGTTCTATAGGGATAATGGAAAGGAAAATAGAAGCTGCTTCGTCATAATAAGGTTGTCGGGTTTAGGGTTTTCAGAGTTGAGGCTATTTTTACTCATAACCCAAAGTAGAGGTCGAAGTACTTCAATAGCATGTAGGTTCGCCCCAGATTGACATGCTTCTGTAGCAGCGCTGTTTGGGTCCAGTTTGCATGCCTCTTAGGTACACGTAGGTGTTGTAACCCTAAACTCTACAACGGAAACGCTAAACCCTGAAAAGCTCCATGGCCTGCAGCAGAGGAAGAGTAGTGGGTCACAGTATTCTGGACTAATCCCCTCCAATTCACCGCCCCTCATTGGTTATGTTAGAATACAATTGGAATAGTTGATGTTCGGGGGGGGGGGGCTTGATTTTAGGGAGAGGGGACTATTCAGGACCTCAACCGTTGGACCTTGAATTCTACGCAAACCCTAAACTCAGAACCCAAAACACATCCACATGCCCTGTTGAGGCAGAAGCGGTTGTTGAAAGTGATAAAGATTTAGAGGCTTCGGGCCTTGGTTTTCTTACAGATTTCAAACTTACCGTGAAGCTATATCACCACTCAACCCAAATCAACAACAACAACAACAAAGTGCAAAGAGAAAAAGCGAAGCCAAACAAACCTGACAAGTTGGTAGCTGGTCATCACTCTGTTCATCTCTGTTCCCAAAAGGGCGTCATTACGGAAATAAGTCACACCTGAACATTTTCTTGTTGACAAACAGGAACCTAATTAATTTCCCTAAAGGACCTTTACATCAAACCCTAAGCCCTTTCACTAAACCCTGAACCCTAAACCCTTAAAGCTTAAGCAACCCAGAACCCTAAACCCCTAAACCTTCAGCTTTTTGAGCAGCCTTCTTTTAGCAAGGCTTGGGATGGCAAAATATACTCCAAACCCTACACCCTGAAACCAATACCCTAAACCCTACACCCCAAACCCCTGAGCCCCAAATTCCTGAGACCAGTCATTGGGATCTAGGGCTTAGGCTTGGGGACAGTGGACAGAAACATGGACGCTAAGCACGGAACGCATGGATTCATTGACTTTGCACCGTCTTGGGTTTGGGGTTTGATTGCCAGCATCATGTGCAAACCTCGAAATTTGCATTCCCTGTCTATCCGGTACATCCTTGATCCGGGCCCAAGAAGCGGACTCCTGATTGAAGGCACCCCGATTTAACACAGGACCGTCGTGGTAAGCCTCAAATTGTAGGGCTTTAGGGCCCAAATACCATTAATATTATAGTATTTGGGTCCTAAAACTTGATTATTTGGGTCCTTGGACCCTTAAACCCTAAACCCTAAAACCCTAAAACACTACTATTTGGGTCCTGGGACCCTTAGGGACCCTTGTGGTAAGCCTCAAACTGTGTGCCATTTGTGCAAAATTGCTCATCTCAGAACCGCCGTGCCTTTCCGGACCCTGGAAGGATCTAGAAAGTAGATCCCCCTTACATGGGTGGTTGTCCCTTTTTGGGTCCCTATTATAATACGGCCCCTAATATTTAGGCTACCCAAAAAGGGACCATAATTTTGACAACCACCTCTGTAAGGGTTCCTAGAAAATATCCAAAAGTAGTAGATGGTACAAGTAGCATATTGGGGGTTTCTTTCTGGAGCCTCCCTGGCCCTTGGGTCTGGGGTCTGGGTTATTCGCGAACTCACAGTGGCAACGAATATCAGAACAATACTGGGCCATGTCGAAGTTAGGTTTAAGGCTTAGGGTTTAGGGTTTGCTGCCGCCTGCCTGGGGGTGTGTCATTCCGCCTGGAATTCTTCTACTTCTGAGGGTACGAAGTGGGCATCTGAATTGCGTTCCTAAGCCCTAAAGCTACCGGCTTACAGAGCGGGGTCTTGGAGGGCTTCACCGGCTCGAAACTGGAATGCTTGTTCCGAATATATGGGGGGTTTCCTAAAATTAGGCTTACCATTTTGGGGGGTCCCCATAATCAGGATTATAGTATATTGGGGTCTATGTTGGGGCTCCCCTTGTTTTGGGAAACTACCATATTCATTCTTGGGCAATAGTACAATCAAAAAAAGAGTTGGTGTCAACAGAGACCCTGTACAGGGCATATGGGACCACAAGAAATCGAGTAACTGTGGGTAGAAAAGGCGAAGAAAGCAAATTGGGACGAGTGATATGCTAGGCCTAGGCCTTTGACAATGTTGGGCTTCAACAAGGATAACTTGTATACGGCCCGCCAGAGACAAACATGGAAGCTTGTATCGCATCCTTTTTGATTTGACAAGACGATGATATTTGCTGGTTAGTGTTTGGACTTCCATGTTACTTTGCGCGAGGGTAGGATACAGGGTCGGAGGATCCAAGTCATGCGGGCCGACATGAAACGCACAGCACCCTCCCCCTACGCCCACCCCACAAATTAGGAAGGTAGGAGGCCTTGGGCTTAGGGCTTAGGGTTTAGGGTTTAGGGCTTAGGGTTTAGGGCTTAGGGTTTAGGGCTTAGGGTTTAGGGTTTAGGGTCTACTTTACCCCAAGGGTCCAAGTGCCCGATAATTAGGTAGTTGGCTCTTTGGCAATAGTAATTGTGGTGCAGGTTCTGCTTAAGTTTCTGATTATTAGGTACGTGGACCCTGAGGGTTATGGTTTCCGGATTCACGGAATGCAGATTCAGGTTTGGGGGGGTCTAGGGTAAACCCTGAGCCCTAAAACCACTAAGTCAAAACCCTACCTGGAGGTTTACTAAAATGTGGGGTGCGTTTTTGGGGGTCCCTATAAAAAGGATCATGGTACCTTGGGGTCTATATTGGGGGCCCCATTTTGGGGAATCTACCACCTGTAACCCCAATTACCTACAGCTCTATGGGTTTTACCCCGCACTTAGGGGAGAACTACTACCAAGCTGTAAGTAGTTGGAGCTACAGGTAAACCCTTAAATCCCAATGTCGGTCTTCTGTTTCACTATACAAACTCCACGTGTTCCCTATACATCTCCTACAAAGGGCCCTATTAAACTGTAGCACTTGGGGTACAACCCTGAACCTTGCGTACTGCCCCCCTCGGAAACAGTTGGGTAATACTTTTAATATGGTTATATATAGCCCTTAATAGAACCCCTAGTATAGACTGTTACTGGGTGGGGGCAGTACCCAACCCTGAACCCAACACCGAAATCAAAGTCGCGCCTAAGCCGGCGTTGCTTGGCCAACTCGCTTGTTTCATGGCGCCTGGGTCTTCCAGACACGTGAGCCGTTTGTTTGTTTTTTGTTTTTTCTTTGTGTGTGTGTGTGTGTCTGTTCTCTCTCCCTCTCTCTCTCTCTCTCTCTCTCTTTCTCTCTTCTTTGCTGGGGCGTAGGGCTTAGGGTTCATTGTAGGCTTTAGGCCTAGGGTTTGGGGGTGGTGGTTGAACCAAGTAAGGGTGTCTTTTCCTATCACAATCCTCACCCAAAAGGATATATATATATACTAATCCTACGCAAATTCTGTAAACAATAGCCCGCTTGAAAATGCTATATACTTACTTGAGTCTCTCATACAGGGGTACCCTCAGGGCTCTTGGAAGGGTTTATAGGGACATGTAGGGATGAGGGTTTAAGGCTTCTGGGTTCTCAAAATATCTTCTGCTAGGGGTTGTTGATTATTTCAAAGGTTTACATTTAGGGTTTAGGGTTGGGGCCTCATCAAGTACTCCATATGGTCGATGAGCGTTGAAGTTGCAAAGCTCCCGCTTGATAAAACCGTGCTGAAACATGTAGAGGGTTTGGGGTTCAGAGGGTATGGATGGGGCCACAAGTATTGGCAACTCTGCCTGCAGCCGAGAACCCATGCCCTACTTGGAGGCTCAGGGGACTTAGTAACTAGGTTAATAATGGGGATAATTGGGGTTAGTATATGGGTTATAGGGGTTCTTCACCTACGTACTAAGTCTCCCTGACCCTCCAAGTAAGCCGCAGATCCCGTAAACTTGACCACAGTTTGATGGCGTTTCCTTTGGAGAACCTCCGTGCAATACCATATGATGCCAGTCATCAATCTGTCCCAGATCCTCTCAAAACCACTTAGGCTCCTATCTTGCAATCCCTCGAAATCCCTACACAAGGCCAGCTTTCGCTCCATGCTTGATTCTCCAGAGTTCTAACTCCAGCCTAAACGCAACACTCCTCAAATCCCTGTTAAGCCCTAGAAAAAACCTGTCCACTACCCACAAATCTAGACCCTAAATCCTAAACCCTAAGAGCCCCACCTGGGTAGGCTCGGAAGGCACGGCGCCCTGTGGCAAGCGACCGAATGGGCTTCCACACTGCAAGAGTATGAGGTTTTGGGGCTTAGGGTTTAGGAGTTTGGGATGATTAAGCGTTTCTTTTGGTGAGATTAAGGCGTTTGAGGTTTTAGGGCATGAGGTTTTGGGGGGTTTATGGTTGAGGGTTTACATCGGGGTTTAGGGGAAGGTGCGAGAAGGTCATTTAGGACTCGGGGTGTATACATGGGGTTAAGAGTTTAGGGTATGAGGTTGATTCTTGTAATGTTTTAGTGCCCCCCAAGTAGTGCAGAGTTTATACTGGGACTAAACAGGGTGTCTAAAGGGGAAGTAGGGTTTAGGGTATGGGGTTTAGGGATTAGGATTTAAGGTTCACGGCTGAGGTTTCACTAGCTGAGGCTTTTATACGTAGGGCTTGAAGTTGAAGTTGTTCAGTGCGGCTGTTGAAGGTCTACGCACCCCATGATTTTCATGCTTGTGGGGCAATTGCTGATTGGCGGTGACTTAGTGACTGTTTGGAAAGGAGGGAGGGAGGGAGGCAGAAAGGGAGGGAGGCAGAGAGAGAGAGAGAGGGTGAGAGAGAAAGAGAGAGAGAGAGAGAGAGGGTGAGAGAAAGAGAGAGAGAGAGAGAGGAACAAAAACAAAATGAGAAGAGAATTGGGAGGAGAATCAACAAGGGAAAGCTAACGAGAAAGATGAAGGCAAAAAAAGGAAAGACAGAAAGAGGGATTCAGGGAGGCAAAGCTTAAGCAGGCTACAAGTCTAGGATGAGACTCCTTGCAAGCCTTTCATCTGGTTGAACCAAGTGAGACACGACCTAATTACTCAACCCATATCAACATACTGCTACAGCAACATGAGGACTGTTGCTTGTGACTATACTCTTCGATGCTCTCGGCGAGAAACTCAACTCTCGTTCTCCATCTCTTACATAGTATGTCGGCAGTGGAAGACATATTTCACTACTGCGGCGGGCGGAAAGTTCGTCGCACTGCCGGGAAACATGCCCACCCCCCTCCCCCCATAGACTCCTCCACCATAGAAACATGTAGATGCGACAAAACCACACACCCGGCGATGCTGTCCCAATACTTACTCAAAAAATCTTCTGAAAGCCCAACCTATTTCAGAGGATTCCTGCTTCAGGGATTTTGGGCTCTGAAGGCCAGGGCTATACCCACGTCTGAGGGCCCAACCGCCAGGGCTGCAGCAAACCTTGCATCTTTTTGTCAGGACTTTTTAGAGGCTTAGAGTCAAAGTCTATGTCGTGTGGAATGGTGGTTCAAGAGTTTGAGGTATAGGGTCTGGGGGTACTAATAACATTGCTATTAATACTAGTTGAGGTGGGAGGTCCGGGGGCCGAATGTTCGGGAGGTCACTCTCAACCGAAAGCCCACGTCGAGCGGGATCAGCGGTTGACGGCCTAGCAAGGGTTGGGTTCATTAGACGCTTACAAGGAAGGTATCGAATTTGGAGAAGTTGCTGAAGTACACCACGTATACCATTACTGCTATAGCTGGTTCTCCCACTATGCCCTACAAAGCTGAGGGATAAGGATGGCATTCTTTTGGTGTCATGGGCCACTCTGACGACCTTGAGGGTTTAGGGCCTAGGGGTTTAGCGACTAGGGTTTAGTGGTTTAGGGTTTAGGGGTTTAAATAAACCCTGAACCCTCAACACCCGCATAGGGTTGAGGGTTATGGAAGTCAAGACTGGCTGTATGTTTGAAAATTGTCAGGCTGTGCTCATCCGTCCAGCTGTGGTACTGCATGGGATGAACCCCGATTCCATAGAGGTTTCATTGCTGCTCTACAGATCGCGCGTCTGCATGCTCACTTCCAATCTGTCATAATGGCATCCATCGCCTCCATGACAGCTTTGTTCCCATGAAGCTTTGCCCCCAAAGGAGCTCCAAAACCATACAAAGGATGCAAGCCAAGCCTGAGACACACACACACACACAGAGAGAGGGCAACCCTGTCCCCGCTGTAGCTATGGAACCTTGAATCACCAGGCAGGCTAGCCACAAAGTAATCATAGTCCTAGCCCCCGACTCCGGACTTGAGACCAGGGAGACCAGGGAGGTCTTGCATCCATCACATCCCACCCTTATGCCGTTGACTGGTTAAGTATAGTTCGAGCGCCTATACGCCATGTTATACCATCACCCAGTTGTCTCAAGTACTGAATTTCCCTTGACCCTCCAAGCAGGGCGTATCTGACCAGGAGGATGCTATAGTCACCCTTAAGTAGATAGAATATGTATGGGGTATATGCGGTCTTAGTATAATATACCCAAAAGCCATAGTCTATTTACTTAAGGGGGACTATACCCTAAATCCTAAACCCTAAATAGTAGTCTCCTTTTTCTTTTCCATTATCCCTATATATCCCCTATATAACCCTACATATCCCCTTTAAAGGGACCTAGGGTTTCCCTTTTCTTTAGTTAAGGGGGACTATAGTATCTTGAGAGAGCCTGGGATTTTGCAAGCGTCGTACAAAGCACTGGCCCATCAACTCCTTCCTGTGCGGATGAGGAGCCTTCGTAAGCGGCCTTAAACAGGTAAAGTAGCAACGGTTTAGGGTTTAGGGTTTAGAGTTTAGGGTTAGAGCCACTTTGGTACTACTCCCTAAATGAACCACGAGTTAGGGTGAGGTCGGGTGATGTCATTTTACATTGCCCAGCTTAAAACTCAATACAACAAGAACATGTTGTACCAACCTGCTATAGTGTTTAGGTTCAGTACTGCCCCCCCTCACTAATAGTTGGATGGTAATTATAATATGGTTATATATAGCCCTTAATAGGACCCCTAATATAGACTGTTACTGGGGGGCGGCAGTACCCAAGGTTTAGGGTTTAGGGTCTGCTAACCTGTGGGGACTAGTTCCCAGAATCCGGAGCCTGGACCCGCTAAGTCCAGAACTCCTTTGGCAAGTCCAAGTCATCATCAATCAAAGCTCCTACGTTGAAGCCATAAACCCTAAATCCTAAACCCCTAAACCCTAAATCCTAAACACTCAACTTAGCCCTTTAGATGCCTGGATCCTTAACTGCAGGCCCATATGTCCCACTACCCCAACCCGTTCAAGTAGTGAAGGCCCTAACCCCTATACTAAAAACCCTCCTGCCAGCTATCACAAAATGGCTGGGTCTCAGGCTCCTCCCGGGACACTGATCCATCATTGTTGGTGTCCTTGCAAGATTGTGGTCTTTGGGCTTATGGAGGTTTGAGGTCTTAGAGCTTGGTGTTCAGCAGTCTGGTGTTGATTGGAGGTTCATGGGAATTTATACTGGACTATGAGTCGGGTACAATGGTTGATTACAACGCAGCTTATGAGTCCCATGGCCCGACATATAATGAGTCGTAACCAGAAACAGCTTACAAAACAACACTCCAACTTACAACTACCCACCCAAAACCTGCACATACCAAAATACGTCCATGCATTGATCATAACCCTCCTGCTCCTGCTTCTATTCATGAACCTCTAAGTCGGGTTCAGTCTCCAGTTTGGGTACTAGCGTTGCCCATATGCGTAGCCCTATAATCATAATAACAAGTCAGACAGTACGTATAACATGGAAAAGCGACGGTTGACAGATGATATGAAGAGCTCCGTAGAAAAATGGAGAGCTGCATCGTCCTCCTCGCGACAAACAAAACCGATATCGATTGCAAGCCTCCTTCTTTCCCGGCTCGACAGGGGCCGGAAGAATAAAACACCACAAAAAGCTAAATCGAACTCCTCGCGCCATAAGTGCTTGAGCACCCAATTATATACTTTGAGCATCCCCACCCTCAGGTTGTTGGGTTACATAGTACGAGTAAAAGTAAAGGTAGTGGTGGTGGTAGTAGTAGTAGTAGTAGTAGTAATAGGAATAATAGTAGCATTAGTGGCATTGGGCTTAGAACTTAGAAGTAGACCTGGAAATTCTAATTTCTCGTTCCGTTCTCAATGTTAAGAACTGTTTGTAGAGACGCGCGTGCTCGATCCCATGTCACCGGCAAATTCTAGAACATTTCCGAATCCATAGACAAAATGCCAGCCATCTCCAGCAACAGGATTTTGAACGGCCTTGCTATTGAACATGCTTTGCCGACAGAGCACAAACAAAATGCTCAGAAAACGCTCGCCGGCCGCCCTGCTCCGCCCCTCCACGTATTGAAGCATCATTGTGTGGGTCTGTATATATATATATACATATATACATATATATATATATATCCAGTAGTTGTTTGTTGAGTTCAGAGTTCCCGCTGCGGAACATCTTGTGCTAACTCTGTTTATATCCCCGCATGACCTATTGCAGGAAACAGGTAAGACGTTTCAAGGTGTTTGCCAAGATTCAAGGTGTTTGCCAAGATAAGACATGTCAGGCCGTTTCCTTTTTGTCCACATCTCATATTCTCTGCGCACATGACCAGCATGCGTTTTTAGGAAGGTCCCTTCCCCCCCCTTTTTTTGTGAATCGTCCACTTGTCCGGGTGGATTGCTTCAGACAAGGCTTTGGAGGCCGCCTCCTTGCTGCGGAAGATCTCGCGCCGACATTGTCGAGACACATTTTCAGCTTCGCAATAATGGCTCGTGTTTATCCCTGGGAGTATCTGTAAAGCTTGCGCTTTGAGGCCCTTTTCTGTGAGAAGCGCTCTGTCAATCGTAATGTCTATCAAGCAAAGAGCGAAACCCAAAAGGCACGACCCAACCAACTTCGGTCATCTGCAACTTTATCCTCCCTTAATGCACTTTCTGCATGGACATTTGGGGGGGCACTTAGAGAATCTTGATGGCCAGGCACTGCATATACTCACACTCTGCAATTGAGAAGTGTTTTTTTGGTGGTGGAACCTAGTAAGATAATATTCCTAATATAAAATACTATACCCCGAAAGGAGGATAGAATCTTACTAATAATGGGTACCATAGTATCCCCAAATAAAATACTACTCCATTGGGTGCTGCACGCACTCCAGAATTGGACATTGCGGGGACACAGCAGGGACACTGTCGACTTCGACGCTGCAGGGACACTTCACAGTTGACAATTTGGACACTCTGGGGCCCGGCACTGCAGGGACACTTAGGGGATAGGAATTCGCCACTGCAGTCACACGCCGTCATTGGGTTGGTGGACTGTCGGGACGGTTTGGGGTTGGGACATAGACGTTCTAAAGTCCAACAACCCCCGGTGAGAGTGGGGATCAACCCAGCAAACTTGAGCATTCGAGTATATGCATATATGTACCTAACTACATACAAATACGTACACAGATACACACATGCATCCGTGTTTCAATGCATACATACATACATACATACATACGTACATACATGCATACATAAATACATACATATTTATGTGCGCCCTCCCAAAAGTAGCATGGAAGCCCGAAAACCTGCCACAAGTTTCATGGTAGGTTGGGGGAGTGTAAGCGTTCCTCTTCCCTACATTCAGGGAGCCTAGATAACCCATAATCATATGGGGATCGTTAGGGCTTCCTTAACTAAAGTACACTAAGCTCGCGCGAAGAATTGGGAAGTTTAGCCATTCCTTTGGCTCCTTAGGCAGATTCCTGTAGACCTGACGCTGTCAACCTTATCACCAAGTCTATGCGTTCCTGAGATAACGCGGAACCATGCGGAACCTCAAAAGGGTTAGCTAGGAATGAAGCCATGGATCCTGAAAGTGTCTATATAACCCATTAATGCAGTTTCCATTTTCTTTTCCATTCCTCCATTCCCATCAAACCAAAGGCCAGAAAAAAGAAGCCTGCAAAGACTGCTGTGGTCCAAGAGCATCCCTGGAGTACGTGAGGTTCCGTGCGTTGTCGTATAGGGTTTAGGGCTTAGGATTTAGGACTTATAGGCTTTAGGGCTTAGGATTTAGGACGTGGAGTTGACGGTTTAGGGATTAGGGTTTAGGGAATAGGGCCTTGAGGCTCTTATCAAGTCTGAACACGACTCTGCATGCACAACTTCCCCTGTCCATCATGGCGAACAGATCGGTGCCCTGGGGGCCAGATCCTGCGTACAGGGAGCTGAAAGTTCAGAGGGTTGGGGTTATGTAGCAATAATGTAAAAGGAAATATTTAGGGTGTAGGGTTTTCAGAACTTATAACAAGTACTTTTAAACAAGCACATATATGTATGTATAGAGTGATGTACGCACAGATCAACCAAGAATGTTTGCTACTTCAACCCAAGGGTTGTTGGACACTAAAATGGTCTCAATGTCGTACAATTGCATATTATCCTGGGCCTTCTTGTTGGCGACAGACTGGTCGGGGGGTGGGGGGGGGGTTGTTGATAGCGCCTAAAATGGTAGTTTCCCAAAATTAGGGTACCCCAATATAGACACCAATTTACTATAGTCCTTAATATAGGGATCCCCAGAAAGGTGCCCCTAATTTTGGGAAACCCCCAAATAAGTCCAAGGAAGGCTGTCCCTAAACCCTAAACCCTAAACCCCTAAACCCCTAAACAAGTAGCACAATGAAGGCAGTCTTGAGGGCGCAGCGGTCCAGGGGTTTAGGTATTTTTTATGGACCTATTACCCCAATAATGGAGAATCAAATGGAAAAGAAAATGGAAAATGAAATGGAAACTTTTTTAACCACTATGCCACGTAG